ACCCATCCGATGTATCTCTCTCTTTTTTATTAATCTTTACCTGAGGATATTTTTCTATTTATTTTCAGATAGAGTGGGAGGGAGAGAGAAGAAGAGAGAGGGAGAGACCGAGAAACATCGATGTGAGAAGGACACATCGACTGGTTGCCTCCCTCATGACCCCGACCAGGGCCGGGGATGAACCGCCGCTGAGGTACATGCCCTTGGCTGGAATCGAACCCGCGACTCATTGGTCCACGGGCTGATGCTCTATCACTGAGCCAAACTGGCCAGTGCCCATCCAATGTGTTTTCAATCTCAAACATTGTGGCTTTCATTTCTAGAAATGTGATTTGGGTCTCTTTTATATCTGTTTTTTTTTTTTTTTTTTACAATTTTTTTTCTTCATTAATTTTTTCAGAGTGGAAGGGAGAGGGAGAGAGAGACACACACATTGATGAGAGAGAACATTGATTGGCCCCCTCCTGCATGCTCCCCACTGGGGATTTGGCCCACAACCTGGGCATGTGCCCTGACAGGGATTTGAACTGGTGACCTCTCGGTGCAGGGTCGACACTCAACCACTGAGCCACACCGGCCGGGATCTCTTTTATATCTTGAATGTCTCTACCTAATTTTTGAACATAGGAAACAGAGTTACAACAACTACTTTGATGTCCTTTTTTTGCCAGTTTTAATATCCTTGTCAGTTCTGGGTTGGTTTCGATAGATTAAGTATCCTCTTCACCATGGGCTTGGTCTCTGCATACCTGGTCACCTTTGGTTATTGCTGGACCTTGTGAATTTTACCTTGTTGAGTGCCAGATATTTCTGTTTTCCTGTCGATGTTCCGGGAAGCAGTTTCACCCCTTCTGGCCTTGTTCTGATGATGTGTTAGGTGGGCTCACAGCGGTACTCAGCCCGGCGCTGATTGTCCCCCACCACCGAGGCGAGACCTTCCTGAGGTTTCTGTCTAACGCCCCGTGAAGTTGGAATTTCTTCAGTCTGGCTTGTGGGAACAGGTACTGTCCTCAGCCCTCTGAATGCCAGGCGCTGCTGCTGCTACTGCTTTCGGATGACTCTGTCTCCGGCTTCAGATAGCCGATTCACGCACACGCCCTGATTCGTCCTGAATGCTTGTGGGGAACCCGCTGTACATCTCTGGGGTGCTCTCCCTGTGCAGTTCTCACTTCCGTCCTGTGAATTCCCATTCCCTGGGTCTCCCTGGACTGTCTCCTCAATCTGCATTGAAAAATAGTTCTATCGATATTTAGAGAGAGAGGAAGGGAGAGGGAGAGAAAGAGAAACATCGATGTGAGAGCAGAACATTGAGCAGCTGCCTCCAGCACGCCCCCTACTGGGGATCAAGCCTGCAACCTGGGCACGTGCCCTGCCTGGGAATTGAACCGGTGACCTTCCGGCGCAGGGGATGAGACCCGGCCCCCTGAACCACACTGGCCAGGGCAGTCCACATTTTTCGATGTGTTGCGTTTTCAGTATTACTTGGTTTTCAGTATTTTGTGATTTCTCTTATAACATGTACAAAAATGAATTCCAGATGGATTTGTGTCCAAACTGTGATTCGTAAACCTAATGTCATTTGTATAAAATTTGAAAACGTGTAAAACAATGATACACACACACACACACACACACACATATGTACACATATACACACTTTATGGGGATTAAATGAAATAATAGTATAAAAGCACGCATCAGGAAGCTAACAGCAAATTGGAGAATAGTTAGAGGGAGAGGGCGCAGAGGGTTCCTCTGAAACTGAGTGACTTCGAAAGCAGGAACGTCAAGACTTCAGAATTCTTTGAAGACCAGCAGTGGGCACACAGATATTCATCATGTTATTCCCTGTCCTTCCCGTGCGCATCAAATATCTTATGATAAAAATCTAAAGGCAGGCCAAAGGGAGATTAAATAAGGAATATTAGTTGAAGGAGCATCCTCGATCAATAAAGAGGTAAAAAGAGTAATTAAATGTGTCTTCACGCAAGAGCCCGGCTGGTGTGGCTCAGTGGCTGAGTGTCGACCCTGCACCAAGAGGTCGCTGGTTTGATTCCCAGTCAGGGCACACGCCCAAGCTGTGGGCCTGATCCCCAGTGGGGGACATACAGGAGGCAACCAATTGATGTTCTCTCTCATCCACGTTTCTCTCTCTCTCTCTAAAACAAGAAAAACTCAATAAAGAACAAATAAATAAATAAATGGGTCGTCAAACTACCTAAGTCAGAAAGCACCACGGGGGCGGGCTCTCCGGTGCGCCTCGAAAGGCCCGTGATTCCCCTGCAGGTGCTTTCCTGCTGGTACTTTCTACTCCTGAGGAGACTTTTCTTTGATAAAACTCTCCAAACCCCCAGTTTCCACAGACACGCCTGGCTGAGTCATCTGTCTTCCCCCTGCGGGGCCCCGACTCCCTGTCCTTGAAGACTGGGGCTCTCGGGTCCCTCCCACGCTGTCCACTATCCACAGGTGAGCTCTGTCCGGCGTGGGCCTCTCTGGTCCTGGCAGTACTTCCCCCCAGTGACCTTCTCTCGCTTGGAGTTCGGCAGTAGCCAACTGGTCTCCTTGCTTCGTCATCATCTCCTACTGTGTCTATTCTTAACACAGTAGCCAGGCAGAGTGGTCCTTTGTTAAAATTTTATTTATTTATTGTTTTTTTTTTTATTTTTCTAGTATTATATTTTAATCCTCACCCGAGGACATTTTTTTCATTTTTTCTTCAGATAGAGTGGGAGGGAGAGAGAGGGAGAGAGAGAGAGAGAAACATCGATGTGAAAGGGACACATCGAGTGGCTGCCACCTGCACGACCAACCAGGGCCGGGGACAAACTGCAACCGAGGTACGTGCCCTTAGCGGGAACCGAACCCGGCTCTGTCTGGACCACAGGCCGACACTCCAACCGCTGAGCAAAACCAGCCAGAGCCCTTGACTTAATTTCTTTTTCTCCAGCATGTATCAGTATCTCATATGCTGTGTAATTTATGTGTTTGGCTTTTGTCCATGGAATATAATCTCCATGAGGACAGGGTTTTTTGTTTTTTTTCTTCACTGATTTTAGAGAGAGGAAAGAAGAGAGAGAGATAGCAACATCGATGAGAGAGAACATCGACTGGCCGCCTCCTGCATGCCCCCCACTGGGGATCGGGCCCACAACCTGGGCTTGTGCCCTTACCGGGAATTGAACCGGTGACCTCTTGGTGCAGGGTCGACGCTCAATTACTGAGCCACACTGGTCAGGAGAGGACAGGGGTTTTTATATTTTATTTATTGCCATAAAACACATGCCTAAAATAGTGCCTGGCATGAAGAAAATGCCATCAGTGGCTTTGGGGACTCCTGTTCCCCCATTTTTCTTGGAGACTTGCAGAGTGGAGGAGAGATGCCGGATCCCTGAGGCCATCTGATCACACTGGCCCCGAAGGCGCAACCCTGGTGATGGCCACCACCCAGACTGGACTCAGCACCAGCCGTGCGGGGTGCGGCAGAGGGTACCTGGACTCCAGCTGGGTGGTGCCTGGGGACACAGAGACCGTTTGGCGGCTCCCGCGCCGTGACAGGAGCCGCAGCTCCTCAAGGCTGTCTGGGACGGCCAGGGGTCTGCAGACAGCTCTTCCTGCTGGGCTCCTGCTGTCTTTCTGGGCTCGGTCCAGCTCCGGAGCCCACAGCTCTGTCTGGGAATGAATTCTGCTGCCTCTCTGGGGCTCCGCTGGGGCTGGGGAACAGGACTGTCCCTCTGGGAGCCACTGGCAGCCGTTCAATGTTTTCAGGGCCTTTTCTCCATCTACCCGTCTCCCTGGCCCCCCAGGCTGGAGATCATGTCCCTAGTACGGCTAGGAGGGTGCACGTTGTGAACCCTTCCATCCGCGAAGGATCGGCCTTTTCACATCTAAAACGAGGAGGGGGGACCTCTTCCCTGAGCTTTGCGGTCATATTCTCTCTGCCGAGGAGGGGACAACTTTGTGGCTTTGATGGGAGAAGGCCAAGGGGCGTGGGGGAGGGAAGGCCTGGGATGGCGGTGTGGTGACGTATTTCAGGACCACGGTTGCACCATTTGATACATAGCGACATAGCAATGATGATGCCACCACGCCCGTCAAGCACGGGGCGGATGCCGGGCGTCCGCAGAGTGTTCTACGTGGTCTCTCCGCTAATCGGCTCACGAACTGGGTGTTCGTTTATCGCTGTGCTTGTTTTCATGGGAGCACAGCGACGCCCCTGGGGGAGCGGCATCTGCTGGGCCCCACGCTCTGCAAAGGTGGGTCCAAGCTTTGGACGCAAGCCAGCTGCGCCGAAGGGGTCCTGCCCTCCAAACCTCCGGGCTCTCAGCACACCCGGAGCCCCCAACGTGGGGCAGCAGCTCGCCCGTCCACACCCTGCAATGTCGTCTGCGGGGCCGGCTGGCCGTCCGCTCCCTGCCCGGCCCGCGGGGTGCTGTGTCTCCACGGTGTGCGCACGTCACCCTCTCTGCTGTTTCTTCAAGCCCATCTCCCTGAAGCCTCCCTCTCCCTCTCCCTCTCCTGACTCTCTCGTTTCTTCTTGGTCTCTCTTGGTTTGGCTTGACAAGTAAAACACGAATTTGCTAGAAGCTTGTACCACGAAAGGGGAAGAAGTGACGAGTGTGAGCGGCAAGCGGGGCCCGAGGGTGAACACCCGCCACGGGGCCACGGGCTCTGCGGCCCGCGAGGCCTCTGCCCTTCCTGACAGCAGGCTGAGCCGAGGAGCCTCCTGCATCGTCAGGCCTGGGGCCTTGGGAAGGGCTCTCGGCTGCAGACTTCCTACTGCTGGGGACTGTCGCTTTGGATAAACACGCTAACTCTCAAAACCGGGGATCTGGCATCCACACTTAGTACGGCTCAGCGGAACTGGCCAGCCCAGGTCGAGCCTGAGGGGACAGGCATGTGGATGGCAGCAGGGGGCGGAGCTGGCAGTGGGCCCTGGTGCGGCCGTGGGTGCAGGGCTGTGGGGGCCCTGGGCAGCGGGTGGAGGATCCGTGTCTCTGCAGGCGAGGACTCCATCAGCACCCTGGGCCTGATCCTCGGCGTGGGGCTGTCGCTGCTGCTCGTGTCTGTCCTGGGCTACAGCCTGGCCAAGTGGTACCAGCGTGGGCACTGCTGGGAGGGTGAGTGAACCCTGGACGGTGTGGCGCCCCTTCTGCCCCTTCTCTCCTGGGGAGCTGGGGAGCTGGGTGCGGCTGACACTCTTCAGCATGGCGTCATGCACACACGCTTCCTGTGCTGGCCGCCGTGGTTGAAGGCTTGAGTGGGTGGCTGCACACTGCGGTGGTGGGGGTGGGGTGCTGGGATGGGGGTCCTCTCGGCTTAGCAAGCAGCTGGTTTCTTCCCTCAGAGCCCACAGCAACACATCTCCAAGGCCGTGTGACCACGGGCCACGGGCAACCGGCCACAGGCCACGCTCCAGGTGTCTCCCACTCCGGCTCCTTGTACAGCTCTTCCCTGGCCTGTGGCTCTTGGGGTCCCCCCTAAGCTAGCTGTGCTTCAGTTTCCCTGGGAGCCTCCTGGGGTCTTGGACACATGTCCGCACTTCCCATAAGACCCCAGAGAGCTGGGAGGGCATGCCGGAATGCCCAGAGGCAGAGGGCGTGTCCCAGACCTGAAGTTAACTTCAACAGCTTCCACGACAGTTGGTTGAACACGTACTATGTGCTAATGCACCTTTTCCTAATATGATTTTCTTTACAATTCCGTGCAAGGCCCGGCCAGTGTGGCTCAGTGGTTGAGCATGTACCAAGAGGTTGCCGGTTCGATTCCAAGTCAGGGCACGTGCCCAGGTTGTGGGCCTGATCCCCAGTGGGGGGCAGGCAGGAGGCAGCCATGTTCTCTCTCATCAATGTTTCCATCTCTCTCTCCCTCTCCCTTTCCCTCTCTCTAATATCAGTAAAGAAAAAAAAGATTCCATGCAAGGGTGAAATTCCCAGTCTCCATTTTCTATAGACGAGGGTGTGCGGCTCAAGTCAGGTGGCCAGTGGAGTCTAGGCTCCAGCCACGGTCAGCTTCTTTGGGGCTCCAGCCTTGGACTGCGCCTTCCCAGGGTAATCAGCACCGAACAGAGGGATTCCCAGGGGCAGCATCTGCCCTGAGAAAGCTGGCCATTCAGTCTGGGAAGATGGGCGGGGGGCAGGAAGCAGAAACTGCGGGAACTCGGGACCTCCCACAACCCCCAGAGGCCCAGACCGGCCCCTCCACTCGTCCCAGACGGGCAGGGAGCACCCAGTGCTCCCAGAGGGGTGATGGGCAGCTCCCCCTGGACACACTAACCTTCTCTGTTTGGACTGTCTTCCCAGGGCCTAATTTTGTCTTCAACCTGTACCAGATCCGGTGAGTTGACTGAGGGCAGATCTGGGTGCGGGGGGGCGGGGGGGGGGTGGGGGTGGGGGGGTGGGAGGCGGAGCCAAGGCTTGCTGCTCCCTTTCCCTGTCTCCCCCTCACCCCAGGCAAATAGGAGAACAGGAAGGAGCCAGGGTCCATTTAGAAAGTTTCATGAGTAAAAACTTGAACATGGACAAGATCATGTAAGACCCTGATGACAGTGATCCTCTTAACATTCAGCCCCAGGCAGGAACCATTCATTCATTCACTCACTCACTCATTCATTCATTCTCTCACTCATTCATTCATTCATTCACTCACTCACTCATTCACTCATTCATTCATTCACTCACTCATTCACTCACTCATTCATTCATTCACTCATTCATTCATTCATTCACTCACTCATTCATTCACTCATCCACTCACTCATTCATTCCTTCACTCATTCATTCATTGGTTCGTTTGTTCATTCGTTCATTTGTTCATCCACTTGTTTGTTCATCCACTCGTTTGTTCATCCACTTGTTCATTCATCCATCCATCCATCCATCCATCCACCCATCCATCCATCCATCCATCCATCCATTTGTTCATCTACTCATTCATTCATTAATTCGCTCATCCACTCATTCGTTCACCCACTCATTAATTAATTAATTAATTCATCCACTCGTTCGTTCATTCATTCATTCATTCATTCATCTGTTCATCTACTCATTCATCCACTCATCCATCCATCCATCCATCCATCCATCCATCCATCCATCCACTACTCACCATTTACTCAGCAGGGATCTACTGTGGCAGGCATTTGGTACTCACTTCTAAGGCACTAAGATAACTAAGCATAGTCTCTGTCTTCAGGCATTTCTCTGTCTAGGCCTGATGATAAATAATATAATCTCAGACTCAATGTGGTATTGAAAGAGAAGAGCAAACGAAGATATCAGGGATTCAGGGAGGGGAGACAGAAACCCCCTTGGGGTAAGTCACCTTGTCCTCTGTGCCGAGGGCAGGCCTTGCCCCCCCTCCTTCTGAGGGATGGGGTAGCTCCTCTTCGGGAAGGTAAGCCAGGGGTCACTGCTAGGGGTTCTTGCCAGGCTCTGGCCCTGGGAGGGGCTGGGTTCTCAGCCCCAGAAACGTGGCCGGGTCATCTTTCTCAGCAACCTGAAGGAGCTCGAGACGGGTGCCCCCTTCACCATCAGCGGCCACATCGGCAGTCCCGAGGGCGGCTACACGAAGTTCTCGGACAGGCCGGTCTGATGGGCGGAAGCACCAGCCTCCTGGAGCCCACGAGAGCTGCGTGGAAGGTGGGTGGGCCCCTGAGCTGAACGTCCCAGTAAGGTTCTCGGACAGGCAGGCACCAAGGACTGCGTGGAACCTGAGGAGATGGTGTCATTCATCCCCCGCCTTGTGGGGGTGGGTGCTCTCAGAAACGCAGGCTTGGGGTCATGCTCTCCCCACCTCCTGCCAGCATTGGGGCTATTTCTTTAGCTCTCGTCCACCCGGCTATGCCCTGCCTTTCTTTCCTGGGGGGGTTCTATTTCCGTTTTGATGGAAGTGTCTAGAATAGAGCTTTCTGTCTCAACCCTTTGCTCTGAGATTCAGGCTCCAGCTGGCCAGCTTCTCCAAGAAGCATCCTTCTAGAGCTTCATTTCTGAAGCCCTGAGCCCAGAAGTCATGGGCCGGTCACAGCCGCTGACGCTCTGTCGCCTCTTCCCCCCCTGTGCCTTCAAGCCCATCCCTCCTCCACATTCCAGTTGCTTCTTCCCAATCCAAACAACTTCTCCCTCCAGCATGTCTCACGAACCCACAATTTCTCTCTCATCTTCTCCCCCGGAACCGACACAGAACCCGCGCTCTCCAGGTGGTCCTCCCTCTGTCCCTCGCCCAGGAGAAGCTGGGCCAGACGCGATGGTGCAGGGGAAGCCTTACCAAGCCCCCCCTCTGTGTCACCCCCTTTTCCTTCTCTGTAGGAGGAGGCTCCTGGCTCAGCACCCGGCCTTCCTGGGCTCCCCCGGGCTGCCTTCATCTCCCTTGGTCTTCAATGCGCAGCCTGGCCCCTTCTTGTGGACAGTGACGTCTTCTCCGGGCACACCACCCTCCTGTGGAGGTCTAGAGGAGTCAGGCCTCAGGACAGAGTCTTGTCCCCTGCGGAGGAAGGACTAGCTCCCAGGAGGCGGTGAGCCTGTGGGAGGAGGTCCCGGGAAGCTCAGCCCTCCCAGCTCCTGGAGACGGCAGAGGGACGCTCGCCTGGCATGTCCCAGTCGCTGCCCTTTGCAGGGCTGACACCAGGGGCTGGAAGACCAGTCCTACCTTCGACAGGCGAAGTCACGTGGGAACGGAGGTGACTCCAGGCACTGTCGGCAACCTGGGTCTGTTTTCCGGCTGACCGGTCTCAGCGCCTCCAGAACAATGTTGAGGGCAGCGCCGAGAATAGTCTAGAACACGTTCTTGTTTTTAGGCTCCTGTGAGAGGGCGGGCATGGGGGCAGGGAGGGCGCTATCCCCTGGTGTCCTGCATGTCCTGTGCCATGAGGGGGGGGTTAGACCAGAAATGCTGGGAATGGGGGAGAGGAACCCCGGCTGGACATACAGAAAGATCACGCACAGGGACATCAAGGAGCAAGTGTAGCTTGGTGGACAGCAGGACAAGAGGGTCATCGCTCCTTCCTGCTGGCCCTGAGGGACGTCATCCTCGTAGGTTCTTTCTTCACGCCCCGCCGTTCAGTCCGGGGAAGCCGGCCTCCGGGGCTCTGCGAACAGAGCGGCCCCGGCGAAGCCACTGGCCTCTCTGCAGATGTCCCAGCGGGAAGGCCGGCAGGATGCAGGAGCCAGGACAGGCAGGCGAGGAGGAGAGAAGTCATAATATCTGTCCTCCTACCCTCTCCTTCCTTCGGCCTGGTCGCTAGAAGGACTGAGGAGGAAGGAAGAAAGGAGAGGTGACTTACTAGCCGCTACCCCTAGCGTCCTGCCTGGGATGGGGCCGTGTTCCTAGCGTAGCCGGGCTCCGACTTAAACCGATCTCTGGATTTGGAGCCCTTCAGCTGGGCCCCAAGTCTTCTGTCCCTGAGTGGGTGGGGTGGGGCAGAGCCCCATTGGTTTGGATCCCCCTTCCTTGAAGGCCCAATGGGGGTGTGCGGACTTTGGCGTCCTTCCTTGGATTTCTGCGCGGAGGGCCGGGTCCCATTCCTTACCCCACAGGGCGTCCAGCTCCAGTAAAATCCCACTACGCCCTGCTCAGCCCACACGGGGCTGCTCTAGGCCCTGGGATGCTCAGGACCCAGCGGCCTCGGGAGCTGTGAACGGGAGGGGCACAGAGCCCAGGTGGTCCTGGCCCCAGGGTCGTTGACTGCAGGTAGAGACAGGGACAGCTGCTGAGGCTGGGAGAATGGAGGGTATTTCCCATGCTGGGGAGCGGAACCGAGACTGGACTGCTTCCTCTTTCAGGGTCCTCTGACGTGGCCCCTGTCCCCTCCGCCTCCCCCTCATGTTCCTGACTTCCACAGCCTGCTGCCTTCTTGACCCGTGCACCCCAGGCCCCGCCCTAGGACCTCACAGGGCTCTGTGGAGGTCCATCCCGGCTCGCGCGGGAATAATCGGAGCAGGTGCCCGGAAATCTAGCTCCATGCCCTGTCGGGCTGGGCACTGGTTGGGCACGCGGACCCATGGCCATGCCAGGGCCTTCCAGAACCTCCCTCTTCAGTTCATGCCCTGACCCCGAGAGCCAGGAGGTCGTCCTGGGAGCCAGCAGCGCGACGGGCTGGCCGGTTCCCACCCCTCCGCCACCCTGGTCCGCGCGGCGTCTTGCCAGGCCGTCCTCCCGCCTGAAATGCCTGCCACCCCCCCCACCCACTCTCCCATCCACAGGTAGTCCCCAGGCTTGGCTCAAGTCCCCCTTCCTGTGGTGTCCCTGGGACTCAGACCCGACGCTGCTCATTGTGGCCCTAACTGTAGCTCCCGCTGATACTGCTGCCCCGCCAGGCTGAGCCCTCCACCCAGAGAAACAGTCCCACAGGTGTTTCTAACTGCTCAGAATGGAGCTTTAAGAGGTGCTCAAAATACCCACCCAATAGAGACGAGACACCCAGTGTGGCCGCAGAAGGACCTGTGCCAGAGGAAGACGCGCGGTAGAGCGGGGGGGGAGGGGGCTGCGGGCACCACGCGTCCCAGAGTACGTGCATGTTCAGGCACAGCCTTGTGACCTGGGGTTATTCTTGGCCCCATTTTACATATGGGCAGACTGAGGGTCAGAGAGGCGGCATGGTCTGAGGCTGCAGCCAGCCGCCTACCGCCCTGAAGCCGGGGCAGAGTCCGAGGCCTCGGGTGCAGCCTGGCCTCGGGGCTTCGGGGGAGGGTCTGGTCTGGACCTGCTCTGCCAGGCTGTGGCCATGGACTAGTCACTGTGCCACCTAGACACGTGGCTCAGCATCTGCAAACTGGAGGGTTGGACTGTTTCTCCGGGGGGCCTCTCTGTTGCGCTCAGGAGAAAACACCTTTCATCCTTCAAATCTGTGTTCTCAACGTGCCGCCCAGGGCCTGGCCAGAACAAAAGATGCAACTAGGCGTGCAGGGCCCACGCTGCGACGTGGGGGTGGCCGTCGAAAGGGGACGGACTGCCACGGTTCCTTTCGACCCCTGTAGTCTCGGACCCTGATAGTCCTCAACTTTTCTGTGGCCTGGGATTTCTCTGCCCAGCATCCGAGGCTGGACCATTGCCAAGCAGACTTCTGGGCCAGGAAGGCAGAGAGCCCAAGTGAGCTGACCGTGGGCATGGTCAGGGCGGGGCTCCTCCCACAGACCCCAGGCCAGGCCAGGCTCAGGGCTCTGACATGATTTGCTCAAGGCCGGCGAGGATGTGTTCTCCTCCTAACCCTTTGTCGCTGGCTTTTCTCCGGCTCCGTCCACGTCAGTGGCTCCCCTGAGCCCCCGGCCCGTGTGGAAGTAGGCTCCTCGCTCTGTCTCTCAGTTCTTTCCCGGGTGTGGGGAGTTTGGGCTCCCCACTTCTCAGAAGTTCGGGCTCCCCAGGCCCTGGGCTCAGCTCTGACTTTCTCACTGGTCTAGTCCTCATTCCTCCTTTTAGGTTTTAACAGCCGCTCTGTCTCCAGATCATCAAATGCTGCCTGTTCCCCACGCCGGCTGCCTGCGACTTCCCGGGGCTCCTGCTCCAAGACCCGCGGGCCTTGCTGTCTTCTGACGTCTAATTCAAAGCTCTCTGGGCCCCTCGATGTGCTTGCTGGGTGCCCTTGTGTTCGTCCACTCGTGCAACTTCCATGACGCTCGGGGGCGTGCTGGACCCCGGGCACCCAGTCCGCCTGAGGTCCCCCTCGCCCTCCCCTGGCGGACGGCTGCTTCCGCGGACAGAAGCAGGCTGCCCGCTTCCCTCCACCGTCCACGCTGCCCTGTGCAGCTCCTAGCCGGGAACGTCCCAGGAATGATGCTGAAGGTTCCCTCGTCTCCTCGAGGAAGCGTGGGCTTCACTTCATCCCTGGTCCAACCCTGGGCGCTCGGAGAACCAAAGCTGTTGATTTCCCCTCTTCACCCTCAATCATGTCCATTCCTGTGCCCGTCGCGAGGCCTGGCTCTGGGGACAGCCCACAGTGACCTTTTCTGTTGAAGAGATAACCTAAGGGATGGTCAGAAGCATAGAGTCTGGGCAGGTGGGAGGGCTCGGCTTGTAGGGTCTTTTAGTCCCAGTGACCTTGCTCCCTGCCTGTGGCTGTGACCGGCCAGCGTCCAGGGTGCCCTCTCTCTGCCCCCTGGCTCTGAGGACCAAAGTGGGAGCTGATGGGGGTGTCATTGCTATGCTTTTAAAACGACTTGGTGATAGAAAAAACAGTGGTAGTTAAGATCTGGTACAAAACAGGAAGCCAGTGGCCTGGTGAGTTCGTAAACTCAGGGACCAGAAGTGAAAATGTTCTGTTTGCCCAGAGAAGCAGCAGACCCACAGACCAACGGGTGGGGCTGGAGGCCCAGGCTGGGGGGGCGGGGGGGGGGTGCTGGATCCTTCCCTGACAGCCAGGGGCATCGGCTACCCTCCCTAAAGCCTAGGGGGATGTTTCCCGTACACAAGCAGGGAGCCGCTGGGAGGGAGAGACGTGGAAAATCTAAGAAGCTTCACCCTCTGTGGTTGTGCCAGTAGCTGGTGGCCCCAGGTGTCTTGTGTGCAGAAGTCTGGCCTTGGATGCAGGACTCAGGGCCCTTCCCGCTGGGAGGTGGCTGGTTTCAGTTGCACGGTGCAGGGGCGGGGGTGTGGAGGGGTAG